TCGGGTGTCATTGAACTCCACAACCATGACATAATCATGGAGTCCTCTTCGTCCCAAGCATCAAAATTTGGCTCGCCCAATTTTGGCCCTGTTCCAAGAAGGTGACTAATTTTTCCTTTTCCCTTCAAATAGGTACGCACTAGTTGTGACCACTTCAAATAGTTCTGGCCATTTAGTCTATATGTTGCCTGAATATTCTGCAAATAACCGGTATGAGGATGAGAATTCATTGCTCCATCGGTTTGGACGGGAGCACTTGTTGCAGTCACGTCGGACATTGTCAATGGAGGAAGAATAAGGCTAGCGGGAAAGGAGAATAAAGGAGGAAAAGAAACACTGCTGATTACAGATCAGCACTAAAGGCCAGAAAAACACGAAAAAAAAAACTGGCAATGAAGGCTAGAAAAGTAGGGGAAAGATTTGGCAATGAAGGCCGGAGAAAAAAAAATCTCAAGGTTGGCAAACCTAGAGCTCTGATACCATGTTTTGAAATGGTAAAAAACTGATCTTATCATTCCATTGCCAACCGACATATTTATACAGTAAGCTGCTGCAATAAATAGAAAACATCTTCCTAAATCAATTCCTATAATTAAGGGACTAACTATTTTAATCCCCATATTTAAGGGATTATACTCTTCCACAATCCTAGGAATACATATTCACACATTCCTATTTTTACACAACTACCAAATATAGATGCTAACTACCAAATATGCATCTACACCAGTAACTCCACGTTTTCCAACATATACCTTGATTTTTGTCCACAAGAAATTTCTTATTTTTTAAGAACCACTTTTAACTCTACTTTTAGTCTCCAACATTTTGATCTCTCTTCCACCGTGCACTCTCTCTAAGCCTCCTTAATATCAATATCCTTATTCTTTTCGCAATTCTGTCCTTTGACACCTCTAATCTTCTGAATTCATGTTTATTCCATTCTTTGATTTTTTCTTTAAAAAATTTCAACTTTTTGGTGAATCTTACTCAGTGATTTAAAAGGCGCGCCTAGGTGCATTTTGGGGTATGTGCCTCGCTTAGGTCCTAGGCGCAACCCTTTCAAAAGGCGCACGCCTGGTGCGCCTGATGCGCCTTATGCCTTTGCCCTTAGCTCAGCTCCGAGAACCCCCTATTTGCTAATGTTGTTCATTCATTCATTGCAATAAAATATCTTCTTAAAAGGCAATGAAAGTTATAAAATCATTATTTTTTATGTGAGAATTAAGAATTTAAGACCCTAACATAGACTTGTTCGGGCTTGCCTGGAGGGGTGTGGTACAAAGGCGACTCAGAATCAAGAATGCA